GATGTCGGGGCAAAGTGTTAGTGCAAATAAATCTTTAATTTATTTTTCCCCGAATACTGATACTCAAGTTGCTGCAAGGATTGTCAACAGAATGGGCTTTAAGCGCACTTCTAGTATTGGCAGATATTTAGGCTCTATTGTTAAACAAGGGAGATATATTAAAGCAGACTATGGAGCTATCAAGGATAGGATACGTTCAAAACTGGATGGTTGGAAAAGCCATTGCCTTTCTTTTGCTGGTCGGGTTACTTTGGTGAAATCGGTCATTGCTGCAATCCCTTCTTTCCATATGCAGAATGGTCTTTTACCAGTAACGTTTTGTGATGAAATTGAGCACATACAAAGGGCTTTCATTTGGGGAGATCAGGATAGCAGAAGGCGGGCTCATTTAGTAGCTTGGGATCAAATGTATAAACCCAAAGATAGAGGTGGTTTGGGAATAATTAATCTTCGACTCCAAAATGAAGCTCATATTCATAAACTGGCGTGGAAGGTGTTAACTAAGAAAGATGATTTATGGGTTAAGATTTTAGTAGCCAAGTATGGTAGAGGTCAAGACTTAAGGAGAGGTATAAAGGCAAAATCATATGACTCTAAACTTTGGTGTGATCTTGCTAAATGTTGGAGTAATTTCATTGCTGGTCTTAGATGGGAAATAGCAGATGGTTCTGAAGTAAAGCTTTGGACTGATAACTGGTTGGGATGGGAGGAAAATTTGCAGCAGTTGTCGAGCAATCAGGTGCCGTGGGAGGAGAGTCAGAAATCAATTGCAGATTACATGGTGGATGATGATTTCCGTCTTAAAGCTGTTCATCAATTTCTGGAGTCAGATTTGGCTGATGCAGTAACAAATCATCTCAGGCTTATTCCAAGGAATGAGGAGGATAGATTAGTTTGGATCAATAATCATCACTCAACTTCTTTGGTTAAGGTCGCTTACTGTAATCTTATGAACTTCCCAACAGATGTTCACACTAGCTTATGGAAAAAAGTTTGGTCGTGGAATGGACCAGAACAGGTGAAAGTGTTTATATGGATGACTTTGCTTGCTAAACTTTCAGTGCGCAGCAGAACCAGTAAGTGGAGCGGAGGTTCAAATGTATGTCCCAGTTGTCCAAATCATGAAGAAACTATTATTCATGTTCTTCGTGATTGTAGACATGCTAGGAAAATTTGGCAATCTTGGTTTACAGGTTCGATACCCAATTCCTTTATGAATTCGAATTTGCAGGATTGGTTGACTTTAAATATCGATAACATGTGGTCCTCCAATAAAGTGAAGGACTGGAGGGATATTTTCTTTACTACTTGTTGGTTTTTGTGGAAGTGGAGAAATTTGGAGATCCACGAAGATCATTTCTGTCATGATGAGCAATCGCAGGCTTCAATTTGGATGTTTGTCCAACAGATTCTGCAAGCCCGAATTTATCAGCACCGTGGTGATTCCAACGATAGCGTTTGGACAGCCCCCAAGCAAGGGTGGGTTAAGTTGAATTGTGATGGAGCTTCTTCTAGTGGCATGAAAAAAGCTAGTTGTGGTGGTATATTAAGATATCACAATGGATCCTTTTTGGGAAGCTTCTATTGTAATTTAGGTTCATGCAATCCTCTTGATGCAGAATTATGGGGATTACTGAAAGGTTTGGAACTACTTTGGGGAACAGGATTAAAAAGAATAGAGCTAGAATGTGATTCTAGCCAAGCCATCCAGATGTTAAAGGAGCAGCATGAAGATCCTAGGGACTCTCAAGTTAATAGCAGATTGAGATTATGGTTAAAAGCAGATTGGACTATTCATCTTGTTCATACCAAGAGAGAAAACAATAAATATGCTCATTGGTTAGCTAAAGCTGGGCAGACTAATAATCTTCATTTCAAGATTTTTAAAGATCCTCCTCCTCAGTTGATGGAACTTATAGTTGCTGATGCTAGAAATATGTCTAGCTTGTTAGTTTCTGATTTGTAATTTCTTTCTGTTTATGGGGCTTAGCCCCTCTTTATTTACAAAAAAAAAAAAAAATACACTTGTAGTTGTAGCATGATAAAAGGGATAAATTGAATTTGAAACTTTGGACGAGCTTTCATTTACTGCGTATGGCTCCTTTTTTTTCCATCAAAACAACGACTCATAAAGGATTGGAGTGCGGGGGCAACGTCTCTATGGTCGTAAAGGCATGGTATTATTGTGGGTTTTGCGTTTATTTTATAAAAAAAAGTGGATTTAGCTCATGAATAACTATTGTTGTTTAGACTTATCTAAACTTATTTATGTTCTATTGTAACTGAGTGTATTGTAATTAGTGTTGTGAAGATATTATAGTGACAGATTTGTTGGATTAGCCCTATATTAGAGTGAACCAGGATAAATTATATCTCTTGCTTTTTTCTTCCCTTCTTTTTTTTTTATTTGTGATTGTTATGATTAAAGCGGTTCTAGCATTTGGTATCAGAGCTTTGGTTTTGTAATTAGGGTTTATGGAATTAATTTGTGAAGTATGTCAACAAGTCAATCACAGATCGGAAGTAAAAAAATTTGAAAGAAAGGATTTTGAGTTATGGAAGCTTTGTTCATTATCGGAGATGTGTGATACGTAGTGGCGGACCCAGGAATTTTTTCTGTGGGGGGCTAAAAATTAAACATTTGTTTCTCTCTTCAAACATAATATATGAGAGGCCAAAATATGAAAAATTAAATATTTGTTCCTCTCTTCAATCACAATATGTGGGAGACCGAAACACCAATCCAGAGAACATAACTCATAAATACCTCTTTTAACTTGTTATAGAGAGAAAGAAGGAGACAGAGAGAGAAGTGGAAGATGTCACAGTAAAATCTACTATCAATTTAAAAAAAACTACACCTTTTCAACCCCTAAAATGAACATTCTTTATGCAAAGAAAACAAAGAAAAAGAGAAGAGAGCAAAGGTTTAGATTTCACAAAAAAGATATACTAATTAATATAATCTAAATAGATAATTCAAAGCAGACCCCTCTCATTTCTTAACCTCTTTCTCTATTTACTCATTGTTAGCCCAACAAGAAAAAAAAAGCCAAAGATAAATCAGAAGAGACAGATTGCCAAGAAGCACAATCACCAAAACCCTTCTGCCCCTCACTTCCCTCTCTGAAACGAATCATCATAAAAGGAGAGGTATCGAAAGAATAAGGTTCATTCTTTCATAAGACTCTCGGACTTCTTATTTTTCTTCATGGATGAGAAGATTTGTGCTAACATCTAAGCATAATAAAAGTTGAAACTGTTAGTTTCAAGTCGAGGTTTAAACTATAATTTAAGGAGAATATTATATTTACAAACTACTTCACATTAATGGAAAGCGAAAATGAAGATTTTTTACATTATACTTATATTAAAAAAATTCTTCAAATTTTGAGGGGAGCGGCCGCCTACCCTAGCACCCCCTCGGTCCGCCCCTGGTGATATGTGATCGAAGAAGATAAATCATTTGTACCTACAAAAACTGTTGAAAGTGGATTATCATATTCGAACGTGAGTGACAACATGATAAAGGGATAAATGAAATCTGAAACCTTGGATGAGCTTCCATTTGTTTTTGGCGATTATGGCTATAATTACAGACTCCCCTATACAAATTTAGAAGGGTTAAAGTTGCTTAAATGTTAATTAACTGTCTAAAAGAAATATATTATTAAGAAAAAATATACTTTTATATTGTAGAAGAGTATTTTTCTCTCCTACACATACATCGATTTCCATGTTACTTTTTTTTATCTTTTTTTCCTTTTTCTATAAATGGATGGGTCCCACACATGATTGTCTCTCTAACATAAGAGAACTTCTCTCCTATTGCATGAGATTAATAAAGCCCTATTATTAATTAGGATATCCTTGTAGTGCCACTAAGTATTGAAATCAAGCCAAAGTATCATCTTTTTAAACCCCCAAAGAAACTTGCTAATAAAGAATTTGAATGATTAACAAGTCTGTAAAATCAATTGCAAACCAAATATTCCCGTTGAAATATATATATATATCTATATATATATATATATATATATATATCTTTTAAGGGGTAGGTTATATTTACAAACTTTTTTGTTTACAAACTACACTATGTTCTCCCGGGAGAACACTGGTTACACTATGTTCTCCCGGGAGAAGATAGTGTAATTTGTAAAAAATTTCAAAAAAAGTTTATAAACGGATCCTTCCCCATCTTTTAAACGTTAAAAAATCATGAAGCACGTATTGTGGATCTATTTAAATGGGAAAGAGACTATCATGCCATATAAACATTAGTATGGAAGAGAAATTCTGTTAGTATGTTATAGTTAGGTTAATTGTTTTTTCTTTTGTTAATTCATATTTTTTGGAATTGATTTCTACATTACTCGATAATATTTAATCTCACGACAAATCCATTGAGTTCAAATATTTAAACAAATCTACTTTTCAGTTCAAAGGAATATTCTACATCATTTGAACTCAAAATCAAATGTGATGACACCAGAAAAAATGATAATAAAAAGGTGGTAATTCATTTGTGAAACCCCCCGTCCTAATTAATTGTCATCTGACTAATATTTTCACTGCGTGGAATGTGTATTAAGTAACAACATGCATGTATTAATAATTAAAGAAAGAATGGAGAACAAACGAGGAGAGAACGAACGCTCAGCAGAAGAAGGTGATCAACTGCGGAGGAGTACGAAGAAATACAAAAGTGGCGAGGGCAAGTTCAGTTCTGATGAGTCAAGGAGCAGGAGAGAAGAGGATTGGATGGAAAATAGACCTTCTTCTAGGGAAGCATTGTTAAAACACAACGGAGAGTTTGAAACAGAAGAGAATATGCAGGAGAATCCGAATGGGGAAGAAGAAGATACCGAGATCATATATGAGTTAGATCCGGATGGACGTGCCAATTTCAAATTATCGAAGGAACTGAAGGAAAAAATACGGAAACCCTGGTGGAAAACTTTAATTGTTAAGTTACTGGGGAAAAAGTCTCGTTGAATTTCATGCAAAGAAGGTTAGAGGGCTTATGGGCTAGAGAAGGGAGAATCCGTGTCACGAATTTGGAGAATGATTATTTTCTTGTCAGGTTTGAGAAGAACGAGGACCTGGAGTTTGCTTGGTCTGAGGGACCATGGAGTATTCTGAATCACTATATAGCAGTTCGTTCGTGGTCTCCAAACTTTCAACCACACATGGCTAATATTGATAAGATAGCAGCATGGGTGAGGTTACCTGATATTCCAGTGGAATATTTTGCATCAAATGTGTTCGGAGCAATCGGTAATTGGTTGGGGAAGTTCATTAAGATTGATAACACAACTACTAGTATTGAGAGAGGTCATTTTGCACGCCTTTGTGTGGAACTTGATCTTAGTCAACCTCTTCATGGAGAGTATAAGCTGGAGGGGCAAGTTAAGAAGGTGGAGTATGAAGGACTACACCTGGTATGTTTTGAATGTGGCACTTATGGCCACAGAACGGACTCTTGTCCTGTCTTGAGAGCTAGGAAAATGTTGGCTTCAACTACACTGAATAATCAGGGAGATCAACAGAATACAGATGGTACAGTAACTGCAGTCAATGATGAGAGTCCTGATGTGGAAATGAGCAGGGAAAACAAGGAGATACCTAAGGAAGGTTATGGACCATAGATGATTGTCACCGGAGGAAAAAATCAAAGGAAGAACACGGCGGAGGACAGAAGCCGAAGGCTTGATGGCGCCTCCACAGGGAAGACAGGTGGCAGTAATCAGAATACGTCTAGGTTTGCAGCCCTAGCAAAATCAACAGAGGAAATCAAGGGTGATGCAATCAATATTAGTGGTGTAGTTAATACAGGGGTACAACTTTAATGATTGGCGATAATCAAGGAGTAGCAGCGCACAAATTATTGCATGATAATCAGGGAAGGAATAAGGAAATTATTACCAACAATAAAGAGAAAACGGTTTTGATTGAAACCGAAAATCAATACTGACTGGCATGGAAAAAAATTTATGATGGTCAGTTATATATGGCTGAGGAGTCAATAAATAATGAGAAGTTAAGGGCAGGAGTTATCAGTGAACAACACGTGTCCAACAAAAATATTCAAAGCAGAAGGACTCAAGCTAATGGCGAGGATTTGACTGGAGGAGAATCGAGTATGATTCTACAAGAATCAGGCCAGAGAGAGGAGAATATCTTGAAGATACCCACATGATTGAGGATACTACTGCCGCAATCTCAGGGTATAAGCTGCAAACACATTCCCCACGACCTCCTGACCCACATGTTCATCATGGTCACGTTCCAGTTGACGGAGATATTGTTATGGAAGCAGCTGAGAATATAAGCTTGAACTCGACTAAGTTGTTGGACCCAATGGAGGTTCCAGTGAACAATGCTATTACACATTTGTCTTAATGTCAGTCCTCTTTTGGAATTGTAGAGGAGCAGCTAGTGGGAAACTGGCTCGCACCCTTAAAGTCCTTGTGCAGAAACATAGCATTAAACTTGTAGCTCTTTTCGAACCTAGGGTGTCTGGTGATAGAGCTGTAAAGCTTGGAAAAAAACTTGGTTTTGAGGATTGTATAATTGAAGAGGCCCAGGGGTTTTCAGGTGGCATATGGATTCTCTGGTGTTTTAAAGTTTTTACAGTGAAGGTTATTGAGCAAACAAATCAATTTCTTCACGTAAAAATTCTTAAGAACGGGGAACTGTTTACTTTTCTCACGGCAATATATGCCAATCCAATGGAAGAGAAAAGGCAAGTATTATGGCAAGACCTTCGAAGATTGAGTTCACAAGCAGTGGATCCTTGGATAATGGGCGGAGATTTTAATGAGATAGCTCATGTAGCAGAAAAAAAAAGGAGGAGCTAGTGTGGATATTCAAAAATGTAATAAATTTGCTGAAGTTTTGAACGACTGCAAAGTGATTGATTTGGGTGGGAATAGTAACTTTTTCAGTTGGCAGGGACCAAAGTGGGGTCATTTGGACCGTATCTTCAAAAGGTTGGACATAATATGTGCTAATAAAGTTTGGAGGTTGAAATTCGCGGATGCATGGGTACGTGTGCTTCCAAGAGTTCAATCTGATCACAGTCCTTTACTCATTGAGTTCAATGGGAATCATATTTCTTTGGGGACACGTCCATTCAGATTTGTAGCTGCATGGCAGCAACATCCTCAGTTTAATTTGTTTCTGGATGAATACTGGAGTAAAAGTGAAACGTGCAGCAACATGCTCACAAGGTTGGTACCTCCTCTGAAACAGTGGAATATCAACGTCTTTGGTAACATATGGAAGAGGAAGAAGGCAATTCTTAATTCGATATATTATATCCAGCAGCAAAAAACAATAAATGAGTCTTTTTACCTTACTGCGAAGGAAAACAGATTGCAAGATGAGTTAACTAACATTCTAGAGCAAGAAGAATTGTTGTGGTTCCAAAAATCTCGTGAAAGATGGAACACAAGATTCTATCACTTGAAGACTATCATTCGAAGGAGCACAAACAAAATTTTAAGGCTGAAGAATGACATGCAATTATGGATTTCTGATCAGAAAGCTCTTCAACATATGGCATGAGATTTCAACTTCAAACTTTTTCAAGAAGAAGATCCTAACCGTAAATGGATTGTTACTGAAAACTGGTGGCTAGCAATCTCTCCTGAGAGTCTTCAATCTCTTGGGAAGCTGCCGTCTATTGAAGAGGTTCGTCATGCTATTTTTGATATGGGGTCATTCAAAGCTCCAGGCGTGGATGGTTATCAAGCTTTTTTCTTTCAACATAATTGGGGTAGATTAAAGGAACAAGTTTGTCAGGAGATTCAATACTTGTGGCAGAATTCATCGGAAATAAAGAGGATCAATTCAAATCTTTTAGTCTTTATTCCGAAGATTCCAGCACCTAATCAAATGACTCATCTGCGTTCCATTTCTCTATGTTCGGTACTCTATAAGGTACTTAGCAAAATTGTTGTTTGTAAGCTAAAACCGATAAAGGAGAAGATAATTTCACCTTATCAGGCCAGCTTCATTCCAAAATGACATATCCAAGACAACATCATAGTGGCCTAAGAGCTTGTTCACACTATGCATCGAATGAGAGGTATGAGAGGCTTTATGACTGTAAAGGTGGATCTCAAAAAGGCATACGATAGAATCAGCTGGAGCTTCCTAAGAAAAGTCTCGATTGAAGTTCAACTTCCACACAATGTCATTGAAATTATTATGGCTGCAGTTTCTTCTTCGAATATCAGTTTGCTTTGGAATGGTGAAGTCACTCCTGAATTTCAGTCTTCCCGAGGGGCGCGTCAAGGAGATCCCATCTCACCTTATTTGTTTGTTCTTGGCATTGAAAAACTCTCTCATATGATTGCAAATGCTGTTCAGTTAGGAGATTGGAAACCAATAAAGGTTGGTAGAGGAGGTCCTGAAATATCCCATTTAATCTTCGCCGATGATTTGATGTTATTCGCTGAAGCTGGTGAGGATCAGATGGACAAGATTGTTCATATATTGAATGAATTTGCAGCTATTTCTGGTCTACGAGTTAGTTTGGCAAAAACAAGCATCTAATTCTCTAAGAACGTGGATGATGATAAAGCGGAGAGGATTGCCAGCATTAGTGGTTTTAAAAGAACCAGAAACTTAGGACGCTATCTTGGTGCGATGATGCAGCATGGGAGAGTCTCCAAGAATCTATTCTATGGTATTGTTGACAGGATTAAGGCCAAGTTGCAAGGATGGCAATCTCAGTGTTTGTCTATAGCAGGCAGAATTACACTGAGCAAAGCTTCCATTTCCACAGTTCTTTTTTTCTAGATGCAAAGTACCAGGGTGCCAAAATCCATATGTCAGGAAGTGGAAAAGTTGCAACGACAGTTTATTTGGAAAAGCACTGAGCAAAGAAGAGGGAGTCATATGATAGGATGGAACACTATGGTGCAACCCAAATTAATAGGTGTCCTTGGTGTGAAGAGTCTCGAGGCCATGAATGATGCTTTCTTGGACAAACTAGCCTGGCTTGTCCAAACAAATTATGATGCGCTATGGTTCGAGTTTTACATGCTAAGTATAGTGGCAGAAGACATCAGATTGATCTCTTCACCAGTAAAGGCAGAGATTCGTTGTTATGGAGAAATCTTTGCACAGTTTGGACTGACTTAAAGGATCATGTAGTGTGGGAGATAGGTGATGGCTCATCAGTCAAATTCTGGACTGATACTTGGATACCGAGTGTAGGGCCTCTTATCAATGTTTGTACAAAGGACCTTCATGCTCATGATAGTAGTAAAAAAGCTAATGAAGTCGTTGATAGTAATGGCTTCTGGGATGTTAGTGTGCTGCAGAATTTTTTGCCCCAGAACATATTGGAGATGATTAAAAGCTACCTACCTCCTGCTAAAGATGATGGGCCAGACTTAGAAAGATGGAGTATTGGGGGCCATAGTTCGTTTATGGTTAGGGATGCATATCAGATTCTGCTACAAAAACGCTATCCCATTGGTAGCTAAGTCATACCAGATTTAGTGTGGAGTGCTTTGTGGCATTGGAAAGGTCCTGAAAGAGTGAAAATTTCTATGTGGAAATGCATTCACCGTAGGCTTCCAACTAGGGCTTGGATTGCTAAGTGGTCAGATGTCCCTCCAATATGCATTAGATGTCAAAGCGTTGAGGAATCTGAACTACATGTTATGAGGGACTGTGCATTAGCTAGAAGGGTTTGGAATAATCTGATTCCAAGAAGGAGACAAAGTTCTTTTTATGAGAAGGAATGGGTGGATTGGATAGTTTCTAATATGAGCTATGACGGAAAAGGGGTCTAGTAGCTTGAATTGGAACTCAGTTTTCATGCTGAAATGTTGGGAGTTATGGAATAATAGAAATGCCTTTTATCATGGTAAAGAAGTCAACAGCGAGAATTTGATTGCGGAGAAAGTGCATCGTATGTTAATAGACATTGAGCAAGCTTATGATGATAGTAAAGTCACACGGAATGCTGGCATGACAGTCCAACTACAAATTGCATGGCAGCCACCGGATTATGGTTGGATAAAATTAAATACAGATGGGGCAGCCAAAGGAAATCCAGGAGTAGCTGCATGTGGAGGGTTGTGTCGAGGATCTGAGGGTCAATGGATGGGGGGATTTGCTTATCATATGGGTATAACATCAGCTTACATGGCAGAATTGTGGGGTATATAAAAAGGTTTGGAATTTGTGTGGAAGAAAGGTTTCCAGAAAATTATCATTGAGAGTGACTCCACTTCGGTGATCACTTTGCTTACCAAAGATGGTAATGCTGCCTGAGAGTCTCATATTGTTGCTCGCATTCAAGCTTGGATGAATCATTTGTTATTTTTGAGCTTTGACGAAGCTCCTATGGTGGAACCTGATTTCGAGTGGGTCAACCCGCCAAATGAAAAAGAAGACGCCGTAATAGAGAAATCTCAAGAAATCATAGGGGTTAGGGTGAGATTGTGAGAGAGACATCCTATTTATATTTCTCACCAAAAGGTCTCACGAAATCTACATCAATAGAAAATTAATTAAAATTGTCAGATTTTTGAATACCACAAGATTATTTTTCCTTTATTTAAAATTCGAATTGAATACCAACGAATTTGGACGTACCAACGGATTTGGTCGGATTCTAAAATAAACTTTTAAAATCCTAATAGAATATCATGCGACTTTTTTTTCAATCTTTTAAAATCCTAATTGATTATCAATAAATTTTTTTGTTCAAAAATAATTAATTAAAACCCTTTGAAATTTCAATTCAATACATCCCTTTAATGCAGATTATTATATTGTATTCAATTAATGTAATATTATGATGTAAGAGATGTAACAAGGCTCATTGGCTAAATTACTAATTTAATTTTTCAAGTTTTAATATAAGTTTTTTTTTTAAATTAAAAATAATATCAAATATTTTTTATTTTGATATACAATATGCTGCAACAAACTAATTTGTATCACTTATACAACTCATTAGATATTAAAAAATAAATAAAGTTAATGTATAATTGGACTTGCAATCATGCGACTCAAAAGTTATTTGTCAATCTACCCGAAAAGAAAATTGGAAATCAAAAAGTAACATTAGAACTGGCATTTGGGAAAACATGAAGTATGAAAGCTCCCACCTCGAGAAGAACTTTAATATATAGTACTGATAATTAATTAAAGCGAGTTCATTGCACGTGTACCCATGCTCACAAACGACTTCCAGGTGAATTGGGCCATTTTGATCCATTACAATTTTTTTAACTTCATCTACTTTGATGATAAATATTTTATGGGTTTTATATATGTCATGTTGTAGGAAACTTGTACTGTCATGTTAATTTAATACATTTGATGTGGGTCCCACTTAAAAAGAAAGAAGAAAAAATAAAACAAGGTGGGGCCATCACTTTTTGTGAGAGTAACATGACATTGTAAGTTTCCTACAACATGATGTATATAAAACCCATATTTTATAGTAATAGTTGTAATTAGAACTTGCGAGAAAGAAAGGAAGTTTTTTGCTTTTTTTTAAGGAAAAAATATTTTTACTTTTGCTGTAAAAAAATTTATTTTCTGTCTCATTTGCGTGAAAATGAGTAAATCTTATTATAAAATGAAGAGAGAGAAAACATTAATAGGATCCACTAATTTTTATATAAATGTGGCTGAATTTTTTTTATTTTTTATTTTTGCAACAAATGTAAAAACATTAAACTTTTTTTTAACGAAGGATTGATTTGTGTTGTTACATCTTTCAACAATTTTCATGATAAAAAGAGAACTTATTTCACACAGATAAATTGTAATAGTTGTTATCAAAATAATTATTGTATTTTAAAATATTTTAATTTTTTTCAATATTCTTGATATTTTAATTGGTGTTGATAAACTCAGACCAACCCAGTCCGGTCGACTCAAAAATCGATAAATCAGTCATATAATTGGTTCAGATAAAGCAGTAGAACAACTAAGCACTGAAACTGGTGCGAACAGATTCAACCCGGTCGATTTTGGTAAAAACCGATAACCTGACTCAATACATAAAAAAAATTGTTTCCAAAAATGGTTCATAAAAGATTTCATTTTTTTAAATTCACAAATAATTTATTTTCTTTTAAAATATTTGAATGATTTATTGTTTATTGACTTACGTAGATTATATACCTACAATATTAATATTATCTTGGTTATGACTATGCAAAATTTTTTTGATTTAGTTTATAATTAAAGATGTCGTATATTTAACCCGAAGCACCAATATCAAACATATGCTTGCACCTTAGAATTGAAATGAAGGGAAATGCATGATGAAGCAAAATGGTCATGACATATCCCCACATGCCTTTCTAGTTTCTATCATCTTTAGTTGGTATTTTGGTTTGACTCCCTTTATTCACAGTATATATATATATATATGTGTGTGTTAACATGGCCTTAAACTTTCAAAAAGATGACAGATTATCACGGTTTTTTATTGCCTGCATGCCCTTTTTCGCTTTGGCTTTTGGACTTCGAATGGAATCAACAACGATATAGATAAGCATTTTAATTTCCTAACACTGGATGCCTTTAGCTGCAATGAAGATTGAACATTATTTTTATCATAAGCGAACTTTAATTTCTTAAGGTCTAAGTATCCTAAGATCCCATTTACAAATAAAGTATATAGAGAATAAAAAAGAAGGGGGAGGAGGTATGCCAATCAATCAATTTATTGACTTGGAGCAACCTGCTTTTATATAATACACAAACACAGTAAAAGAAATTGAAACCAGTTTCAATTATTGCTTCATTATTCAATTCCATCGCTATCTTTATAATTTGTTGCAATATAAAAGTTAGCTATTTTAAGTAACCAGTTCTCTTACTCAAACAGTTCTGTTTCCTTTTAAAATTCACGGAAGTCTTATTTATGTTCTTGTTTCTTAACTTTAAAAGGTGGGTCACATTATGTTTTCTAAAATAGAAAATGTTCCCCTTATTTTGAAGAGTGTAATGGGCCAGGTCCCATCCTGACCTGAACCCATTTCAATCTCCGTTCGGGTGAGAGGCAGCTTCGCTTGTCCATATTTTGTCGTTGTTTAACAAAAAAATAAGCAATAAGACTCTTGCACATTCCATAAAATGAGTATTGATCAATTCAATAATTATTGGGTTGGATCACGTACGGTTGAACATGCTACTATTGAATGGTATTTAGGTTGATGTGCTCTTTGAGGGACACTTGATTGGTTGGCGAGATGCTTTGCGAGATGTTTAGGCTAAAATAGTTTGAGGAAACTAAAAGATATTTCGATATTTAAGTCAGTTAAGAGTTCAAGGTGTTCAAATATTGATGAAAAGATGATCATATTTGGGTTTAATGCTTCTGTATTTATTGTGGATGGGTGTCTTGCTTATACCTCCTTAATATGTCGGTGTTCATTTTTATTGGTGAAAAATGCTAACCTTCACAAGCTATTCCCTAGACAAGAAGCCTATAGTCAAATTAAGCTCCTGTAGATATACCGATATATAAGTGTCTATTTTCATGCCATTGGTTCATATGGGAGTGAGAGTACTTTGAGCAGCGGATGTCATATAGCAGCGGATGTCATATAGCCGCAATTGACTATGCATCTAGTTATATGTGTCTGGTTATTGCGGGATTATCAATATACATACTTCTCTACTAAGTAATAATCTTTGGACCTTTTGGGCTTTTCACTGGTTGGGCTTATAATCTCACGTAAAATAGGTTCATATTAAGTATTAATATATAAAAGATTATACTTTTGATATTTAAGTTACTGAATATGATAAAGTTAATGCTCCAGCTTATGAAAACTAGTAAATTTTACCTCGAGAGATTGGCTAAGAAAAAAGAGAGAAAACCTTGATAAATTTTCCTATATGCATGTCGTGTTTTTTTAATAAAATCACGACACATTTATTATATTTTTAGTTACCTCATCCTCCTTTTTAAAGTTCTTACAATCGAGGTCTAAATACACATATTACGTGGTTTTCTTTTTTTCTTTTTTTAGTACAAGTTACGTTTTTTATTTTCAATAACAATAAGTGATTAAAGAACTTTATCTCAATTTTGTTCTATGAAAATAAAAAATACTTATGATGGTGAATTCAATTTAAAAGCCATTAAAACTAACATAGGTAAGACCCATGTGGATGATCTTTGGGAAAATGTTTTTTGTACCTTGTTCATTTTAGAAGAGCTTTTAACAAAAGGTTAAGATATTTAAAATTTGAAAAGAAAAAAAAAACATCCAAACAAACGTTAGGACAATTGGTCAAAAATGTTTTTGATAATTCTCAAACGCTTTTCTTGTATTGCTCGATGCTGCTTATGCCACAATCGGGCTTTAAAGGATGAGTCCGCCCTAAAGGCTCATTTTTTCCAGCATTCAAATATATATCACACATTTTACCATTATTTACCTAGTTATTGCATGAGTTCGCTTGTTGTTGTCTTTCCATTTTTTTTTTCCGGTGTATTTTCATTATTGTCTTTCTATTAATTTATTACTAGTTTCCTAATCTAAGTGTTGTTTCCAGAGTTTTACGTTCCACTCAAAGGACAAAACACGTGTTGGTACTATAAGAATATGCACTTTTTTTACTAGAAATTATCAATGATTTGGTTTTACTAATTAAGGCACTTGATCATTTGTAAGCTCATGTTTAGGTCATATAAACATACTTCAGTTACCCAGAATATTATATTTTCATTTGACTTGACTCAATATCTACTCATTTATAATAGGTCTCAAAGAATTACTATGCATGGCTAAGAAATAATATATATCTATCCTGGTATCAAATCATTTCACCTACAATTATCTGAAAATGAACGTACATTACCAAAATCAATGGTCAAATTTAGGGTTCCCTATTAATCAAATGCATGTATGAAGAGTAGAGATAGAAAAACCAAACATTTCACTAATAAAAAGTAAGAAGAATTACAACAAAGTTAAATTAATGTCAAGTTCCGGAACCTTAAAAGGGTTTATCTTTATCATAATTATGATAACATGAACTATAGAAATCAATAACATCATCAGACGACATAGAGAAGAAGAGAAAACTAGATTTGCTAAGTACTAGGAATGTTTTTTAGAAATTATAAAAGTTTGTGAGCTTATTTGAATATCATCAATTTCATGTCCTTGAATATTGAATAGGCTTAAATAAAAAAATAAAAAATTTACAAAGCAAATCTTATCAACAACAATGTTAAGCAATAAGTATTAGTTAAAATTAACAATTTTTACTATTTATCACTAAATATCAAAATAATTATGATACAAAATTATGTCCCAAAAAGTAAGATTAAGACAACCAAATATATGACCCAATATTTTACCGTAACGCACCAAATCTCGTTTCTAAAAAAAATAAAAAATAAATAAAACTAATTAGATTTTAAACACACTACTAGCGTTAGCCTTACAGCGATGGCGCATCAGGTAAATACGAGTAATGCAATATAAAAACAATGGAAAACACGAGCTTCAACCACATTCACTTTTGCACTTATCAACAACAATGTTAAGCAATAAGTATTAGTTAAAATTAACAATTTTTACTATTTATCACAAAATATCAAAATAATTATGATACAAAATTATGTCCCAAAAAGTAAGATTAAGACAACCAAATATATGACCCAATATTTTACCGTAACGCACCAAATCTCGTTTCTAAAAAAAATAAAAAATAAATAAAACTAATTAGATTTTAAACACACTACTAGCGTTAGCCTTACAGCGATGGCGCATCAGGTAAATACGAGTAATGCAATATAAAAACAATGGAAAACACGAGCTTCAACCACATTCACTTTTGCACTACCTACATGAAAGAGCTTCAGGAGCAAATTCCTACTACGTACAAAGATAAAGGATTCAAACAAGTTGTAATTCACGGCAATAAGGTTATGTTGAATGATTGGCAAATTGGTCATTTTCCAGGGTCGCGCTACTTAATCGTGCTATTTGTTCCCGGGCCTTATTACCCAATTCAATACCAAGAAAAAAATTTCTCTACAACTATATAAGTGTAGCATAGAAATTTCTCTTGCAGCAAATGGAGAAACATTGACCCCATAATAATCTTGTTTTATTTATCTTTTGAACTTAGGAATGTAAATGTGAGAAAAAAATAAAGCCCTTCCACTAAAATCCAACATATTACGAGATTTAAAAAGTAAATATAGCAAATACAAAAAATGCAACTGCAAAAAATAAGAAACAAAATTTGCACTAAAATAAGAGGAACAAAATTTCCATATCGTCTCCATAACATTATGATAAAATTCAACCCGCAAAACCAAAAAACCAAATATATTTAGTTCAAATAAGCATACAAAACAAAAATCTAATGCGAAAACATAATAGATAAACTCTACTGCGAAACACCCAACCACTTAGAGAAATTGTCGAACTCTGTATAATCGGAATCAGATATCATAGTATGGTACCAGGCCTTTCCTGCAGCTCTGATGGTAGAAGCTTCGTCCTAAAAGGGGAACAATGGAAAATAACACATCAATTTAAAACAATACACAATATTAAGGTAATCAACGAAAAAAATACATTCAATAACGCAAAATACAACAAAGAGAGAACACATATCCTTCTACATATTTGATTGAATGTCTATATTATATATACACTATGTGCATCAGATTACTGAACTGTATTTTACTTGTCACAGGTCACTTGCAGTTATCAAAGCACAATTCAAATCCACATGCAATTTGCATATACATTGTACTGTTATAGAATAGTAGTAGCAAGGTTACATACAAAACTGAGATGAACATACCACATGACATGATATATCATAATTGAGAGAATGCAACTACGATCAACAATACAGATGCATAATGATATATATTAAAAAATAAAGCAACAGGGTATGCCATGAAGCCCATTAGTCTCAATTGCAGTTTATTTACACAAACATTAATGCTACTCTAGTATGAGGAAAAAAAATAAAAGCAATTCAGCTTGATATTATGGTAAAATTGTAAAGATTTGGCTAACCTGAGAAATGTTCTTCCTCTTCTTATCCAGCTTCTCCTTCTTAGCCTTAACGCGCTGCGCCTCAGCGAGAAGAGACATCCTCTTAGCAGTCTTAGCATAAGGATTGAGCCTCAGCATGCAATTGAGGTTCTTGAGTGGGTTCTTCTTGAGAGTTGCCCTCTTCACATCCTTCTTAATGGGCCTCACAACAGATTGAACCTCATCAGAGTTGATAATCCTAGATAGGTCAGAGTTCACCATCTTGGACCTTGGAAGAATGTAACCCTTCTTTTTCTCAGAGGGCTTCTCGAAAGATCCATAGATAGAGTCCAGTTTTTCAAAAGCAGACTTGGTCCAGATCACAAACCTTCCAAGGTGTCCACCAGGTGCGAGCTTCAGAAGGTTGAGCCTCTCAACATTCGCAACCTCAACACCAGGAACGTTGCGGAAAGCCTTAACCGCTTTAGCTCCTTCAGTTCCATACACAATAAGAGGACCCCTGCGAGAGATGTACCTGCGGTTTCTCATTTTCCCTTTCCCTGGTCGAATGCCAGTGCTGTCCTTCGCTTTCTCAGCGTCAGAGAAAGCTCCGATCTGCTTCAGAACCTTGATCGCCTCCTTGGTTTTCTCGACTCCTTCGGCTGAATCGCTCACGACGAGTGGGAGCTCAGGTACGGTCTCGATCCGGTGTCCGCGGGCGAGGACGAGTGAGGGAATGGCGGAGGCGGCGATGGCGGAGACGACAGCGTAGCGCTTCTGGTTGACGTTGATCTTGCGGTGCCAGCGGCGCCAGATCTTGGTTGGAGCGAACATTCGACCACCGCGGCACATGTTTCCGAAGGCTCCCTGGCCGGCACGGTGAGTACCGCCGCCGGGGACACGGGGGATACGGGAAACGGCACGACCTGTTCCCCAGGATTCGGCGGAGGTCTGGTGACCGGCGCGGCGGGAGACGGCGTAGGGCTGGCGGCTGTTCTTTGAGATGTTGGAGTGGACGTAATTGACGATATCGGGACGGATGGAGGCCTTCATGACGTCAGGGAGAGGGACGGTTGGGGTTGCGTCGGTGGCCATGTCCCCCTCGATGGACTGCACGGTGACAAGAGGACGCGCCGCTGCGGCCATTGCTAGAGTGAGAGAGAGAGAGGGAATTAGGGTTTTTGGCTGCAAATGAAAATGGATTTTGAAGTGGATTGTATGAATATATAGTTATATACTTGCCTTTCTTTGCTGTGCTTCTTAGGGTTTTGGTTGCTTCGGGCCTGTATGGGCTAAAGGTTCTTGGGCTTAGTCTCTTCAAGCTATAATTTTTTTTTTTTATTTTTTTTTTTGTAAACCTTCAAGCTATAATTTTATTTTCTAGGTTTGGTTTTTTTTTTATTATTGTGACACAGTTAATTATTGAATTGTTTATGGAAAAAATTATATTTCTCACTAATCTCTTCTCTTTCTTTACTTTACAATGGGGCTCAGTTATTTTTATGTGAGTGTGACTGGAAATTTTTTTTGAAATAAAAGCAAAAATATTAAATCCATTATTTATTGTAGGCTTTTCATGTGATAAAAATTTGAGAAAAATGTTTCTGTTTTTATTGCAGAAAAAATTTGTCTGTCACACTTTTACACAAAAGTGAGTGGATAGAGAAGATGAGTAAGATCCACTCACTTTTATGTGAGTACGGCAAAGAAATTTTTTCTGCGGGAAAAGTAGAAACATTAAACCCAAATATATTAATTTTCTTAAGTGACTCTGTGAATACTACTTGGTTCTCAATTTGGTAAATGGTTGAAATGACTTATTGATATGATATTGCTTGCATTCAAATTGATGCTGCTATTTCAAAGGAACTAATATGAGAGATATGATGCAGTAGCAATTGACTGAGCAGCTAGTCATATATATATCATATGATTGCAGAATTGTCAAGATACTGCCATATTTACTAAAAAATAGTCTTTGGGGCCTTTCAATAGTTGGGCCTATAACCCCTGATGGAATAGCTCAAAATCAAGTATCAATATATAAGAGATTCCGTTGTTAATATTTAAGTTGCTGAATATGATAAAGTTAATGGTATAGCTTATAAAAACTATAAAATGTTACCTCGAGAGATTGGCTAAGAAAAGAAAGAGGAAATCTTGATAAAATTTCCTACATGCATCTCGTGTTGTTTTTTTAATTAAATCATGACACATTTCCTACATTTTCTAGGTTTCGTTTTTTATTTTTTATTGTGTTACGGTTAATTAATGAATTATTTATTGTAGGCTTTTCATGTGATAAAATTTTTCTTTCCGTGTAGTTGTCAATATGACAGATATATTGAAATGAACACATTAAAAATGACCGAATGATTCTCATCAGAAAGGGTAAAAAAATTGTTATAAAATTGATGTCATTGTGAGCTAAGTTGGCAGCTGAGCTCCCAAGGAATTGCTTGGTGCAGTGATCAAACCCTGCCTCAACCAGTTTCTTGAAAAATCTTTGGGGGCCAGAGGATATGCCAAAAATCTTCGGTTGGGGGATTAGTCTCGTCCTTTCTCCGGTTGCGAAGCTTAGTGCACTCACTGTTACAATGAGGGGCTAGCCCAAACAGGCCGTACCCTGAAGGCATGGTGCTCGGAGAAGGTTGAATAGGAATACCTCCGTGACTCCGTGACTACTAACTTGGTTCCCAATTTGGTAAATGGTTTGAATGACTTATTGATATGATATTGCTTGCATTCAAATTGATACCATTATTCCAAAAGAACTAAAATGAGATCAATTTTATTTAGATTTTGACTCGGAAAAAAAATATTACTTTGCAAACTGATATGCCCTTCGCATTGAAAATGTTCCTACATCCTACTAATCCAATCGAGAGCGGTCATTAAAACAGTAAAAGAAGACTCACAAAACTGAAACACGAAACGGAAGTATGTCGAAGTGTGACTTCACACAAATTTGGCAACCAAAAGCCACACTGAATCACTGATAATAGACAATAATTAGCCCCTCTCCATTTTCTCTTCTTTGATACATCTATACCATTAAAAATATCTTATATAATAACATAGACCTATGTGTCTACTCGAAGGTAATATCTCTAAAATAGTTAAGACAACAGTTGTTATGGACCATAGAATCAGCTGAAAAATATGTTGTGCTCTTCAGCTTTCTAACATATACACATATACTATCATGGCTGTGGTCAAAGGACTATGGTTACATTTACAGGCTTTACAGCAATTGCAAGACACTCCTATGCCTTGCTGCTGCTGGCTGAGCAAAACCTGTGTCTTCCATCCAAGTTTGACCTAGTGAACTGTAAAAGGAGATGTTACAATAAAAACAGACATGAAAACAAAAGAAAACTACAAAATATGAGAAGAATAAAAACAAATACCAATCAACAAATTGCTTGTGGTTAAGCGGTTTGACACGATAGATCATTTGTCTGCGGCTTGACATCAATTCCTGCAGTAACTCCTACTGCCAATGAATTGACATCATATGTTGACAATACCTCCTTCTGAACAAAGCAATAAAGATAAACTAGTCAAATTTCATCTTTAAAGATAAATCACACAAAGGTTTCATCCAAGTTCATTCATAAAGACAGCTTCATGAGAATGATTAAGCATCACTAACTCTTTATTTTGTCTAAGTTTCTTCCCCCAAGAATGAAGCAGATGAGATAGGCATTGAGCAATCATCGCAATTAAGCAGAGGGTCAAGAAACTGAGTTGAGTTGAAGTTTGATGTTGTCAGATACTATTTTAATTTTGTTATTAATATAGGACAGTCACTGTCTTCCTACACATACAGACTCTATGATAAGTTCATGTTATATTTTAAAAAAAATTAATTTAATGGCAAAGCTCTTCATACTTTTCTTTTTGTCCTGAAGAAAGATATTTACTCCCGGTCTTGAAGGGCTTATTTGGTCGTAGGGACAGATCCAGAAAATAAGTGTTGAGGGGCCTATTACAAAAGTTAAGATATTTAAATAAAAAATTGTAGATTTAAGAAATAAATGTATCGTAATTTTATCAAAGTTGAGCAGATGCTCTTAATTCGTATGTATCTTTCAATGTATTTGCAAAGTAAATGCATCAAGAAGATGGGGTTTCATATCCTACATATAGCAAAGCCAGAGTGATATTTATGGATTTGGCATTTCAATTTGATGAACCGCAACAACTAAATATGATTAATCAGATTACAAAATAGTATAGATCAGTCAATTCAAACAAAATGATACTTGGACAGAATACACTTACAGTTCTTTCAAAACAAGAATTATTTTTTTTTTTTGGCAAATATGTTGCAAAACTATATAATCATAATTGAGATTGATTTTGAAACTTACAATGGGCTCAAAGTCAGGGCTAGACAAGTTGACAGTAAGATTTCTCATTAACAATAAGACCTGCAGCAAAACACCAAACATTCGTTTATGAAGAGTGAAGAGTGAAGACAGTTCCGGAAATGGTAAGTTTTGGGCCTTTTAACCTTGAAAGTGGTAAGTATCCCATTCTTTTATTCATAAAGACATACCACTCTAGGCATATATCAAAAGTCATGAAGTATAGAACAGTAATATCAAGCTCGAGTGTTATAGTATGATGATCATTATGTTGGCATATTTAAAAGCTCATCCAGAGTCAATTTAGTCTAACAATTTTGCCAGTTAGACGCATAACAGTAATTCTTTAGCTTTAACAAACTTTACACAAAGCTTTCCACCACAGTAAAATCAACTGCCACAAATTGATGTTCCCCATGACATTTTGATTAGCTTATGTGATCTCACTTTATCTTCCTTCGACACGCTAGTATAAAATAACCATATTCAAAGCCTTACAGAGTCAAACTATTTTAAGCTAAAAAGGAATGGAGCAATCAGCTTTATATTTCACTACTTATCGAAGTGAGAAAAAACATAATGTTACATACTTCACAACTAAAAGGGACCATAAAAAGCCACTAGGATTAGTCTAGTGATGAGGGTTCAAATCTCAGTGCCATCACTGTATCAAAAAAAAAAGGACCATAAAAGGCAACCAATACATATTTATATGTAATTTGGAAGTTTATATTGACCACTACTTTAAAAATTGAGAACCTAGCTACACCTTACGACATGGTTCATGAAAAGTTCAAGGAAAATTGTAACAAGCCTTAGAATGTTAGAGAACATTCTGGGCTGACAAATTCTGGCAACAAGGTTCTTAGTCTGAATCTACACTAAGAAATTTAGAATGATTCTAGTTTATTTGAATTCTGTCCACTTTGATATCAACATGCCTTTTTCCTTAATTTCAAATCTTGTTTTGACAGACTCAATCATTCAAAAATGTTATCATTCTTATTTCCTTGGAAATTATAGTAGGATTTCTTCTTCCCCTGGAAAATGATCCACACACTTCCAGTAGAATAAAAGTTAAACAGAAAGGCTATATCATTTCATGCTACCAGGAGACCATAAAAATTATCTTCCTCAAAATGGCTTCATCAAGTTTCCTAATTCTGCTTTGGGAAGAGGAAAAACCATTCATTGTAACCATGCATCCTGTAAGTTTTGGTTTGTCTCATAACACCAATATTTTTTTTAAGTGAATCAATACCTATCTGATTACATAGCTAAGTTTCAGCTCTGAAATTACTTCGTCAGGGGGAAGGGGGCCGCATGTTACCTAATTAAGTGATGATAAGTTTCATTCAAGTATTCAACTCACAGTTTCAAAATTTATAGGATCCATTTCCTTCAGCTTCTGAACATGGCCGTTCGTATCTGGATCAAAAACACTTCCAATGAAACTGTAAACTTCAGAAAAGTCTGGCAAACCTGTGAAATATGGTCAAAATGACACATAACCATATGAAAATGAATACAAAATAAAAATCAATATAAGCAGAAATCAATATATCAGAAGATTACCATGAAGAACAGGAGCTTGTTTCCCTTGCTTTGATATGTCAGAAGTTGGTATCATTCTAGTAGAGTTCCCAACACCACTAAGACTGCTGTTGCTAATCTGTGTTATCCCGTTTGATCCAATATCAGCTGAATCAGTAACGTCATATAAGATAACAAGCGATGGAAAGTTCCATTTAGTACAGCCAATATAGACTATAGACATCAAACAAACAACAATAAAAATAAGTATGCATGCCTTCATTTCCATGAAGGTTGTTGAACTCATCCTGACAGATCATGGATTTATTGGATCCGGCATTCATCAGCAGGGAAGTTTCATCCCATGTGGTATACCGAGGTGCAAGGGTATTTGTAGAAGAAGCATAAGCAATGGATGCTGGAAGTGGCAACAAAACTGGCAACCCAGAAAGTAGCATGTCAGGGATGCATGAAATGTTGTGCTTTTAGAGACAGAATATCACCATCCCAAATAGAAGCAAACCATTTTTTGATGCCTTTTGAGGGTAAGGATGAGCAGCTTTGCGCTTAGGACGAGGAGGAGGCACATGTGCTACTGTCCCATTCTTTTGAACTTTCAGGAAGTATTTTTGGGCATGGCTTCGTATCTGAGAAAAGTTATTAATTAGTAACAAATAATTCCTGAATAGAAAACACACATGAAAAAAAGAAAATAAAGACATAGAGCTGAAAAGCAGTATCCTAACCTGAATAACTGTTTTTGAACCTACAAAATCTTCAATTTTCTTCCAATCCCTGTCAAATCTGAATATTCCACAAGATGTCAGTAATTGGTTGCAGAGTACTTCACTTAATTTAAAAGCATAAAGGCTACATCTGAGGCAGGCCAAAAAATAAGGGCTGAATGATACCATTGACGAGTTAGAAAATTTGCCCTGTTAATTTTATACGAAGGACTTAATGCATAAGCTACCAAAGTAATTGTAAAGTTCTCTTACTTTAAGTTTCCTTGGTTGAGTAGATAAATGAGAAGATGGAGAATAGAGCTCAAACAGACTAAAAAATAAGTACATGTTATTTCTATCTTCTCCAATTTCTGATATCCAAAACAAATATCAAATTAAATTTTTATTCCAAATTTTCTACCTAGGCACTTTCCACCTACTCAACACAATTGTACAGTTTTTCTTACAACCTGGCCCTCTTCTATCCCATCCTTCCTTCAACCTACACGTCTTAGCATCAATTGGATTCTCTCGGAGACTAAAACGAATTAGAAATGCTAATATTTGTTCATATAGAAAAGAAACTGAATTCTGAAAGGGGTTATCAGTTTGATGGGGGAAAAAGATTAATCTAGAAAACATTAAGAACCTTAAAGAAATTAATAAATAAAGTGAAATCCATTCTCAAAAAAAAAAAAAAGGGAGGAAGAAACATATGGACTCACAATTGAAGAGCTTCGAGAAACTTGTCGTGTTCTTCCTCAGTCCAGCTCTCCCTGGACTTGGTGATGGTGTAAGGCTTTCTCACCTTCTTGCCAGAACCATCACTGGCGGTTGTTGATGTAGCCATTGACTGAGAAATCGAAGTGTTGGAGTTCATGCTCTGCCACAAATGACATAGACTATGTGGCTTCTGAGAGGTTTGAGATAGAAAGAGAGGGAGGAGAGAGAAAGACAGAGAGTAACTGGGATGGGATGTGACGTGGCGGGGTGGGGTGGGTATATGTGCGGTGCACAATTTGAGAGCATAACAGTTACCACAACTTCCCCTACGCTGATTTCCTCGTCCCATGTTCTATCCCATGAGAACAGAACATTGTCGTGGGATTTCATACACCACACGCACACATGTAACAAAAGTTTTAACGTTTACCCTCAAGATGAATTATCAAATTTGATTATTATTAGGTAGGCCATTCTTCTTAGAGCACGTTGGTATTAATTTTTTTTAAAGTTAAAAATTACTTTTAATTTAAAGTTAAAAATAAATTTATAAGCTGTTGAATGATTATATATATATATTTTTAACTTAAAAGCTGTTATTTAAAAAAAAACATATATTTTAAAAAATATATATACAACTTAAAAAAGAAAAAGTTCTTGGCTTTTGAATTTTTTTTATTATAAAAATAAACTCTTTTTAGTATACTTTTTTTATAAAAAATTATTTGACTTAATTTCTGCCTATAACAAAATAGATTAAAAAAAAATCTTCCAAAAAAATACTCAATGCGCATCTATGCCATTACGAGTTTGTTGACCAACTTGTAAAATTTTAAAATATGTATTTTTAAAATTGTTTTGGATAAATAAGTGATATTTTAGGTACGGATTTGAATACTTTTTGGGAAATCATTATCTCCTTCTACATGAGATAAGAACTTTTTCCTACACAAATTCGTTTTCCGTGCCAATTAATTTTTCTTTTCTTTTTTAATTTAAAATGTGGGACCCACATTTAATTTATCTCTACTTTTTTTCTCTCCTACTATCCTACAACATAAGAAAATATGCACCCATACTTTTTATATGAAAAAATGATCATTTAATTTTATCATGATCATTTATTGATAATATAATAAAAAAGAAAAATATGTATGATTTTTAATAAATAGTTATGATCAAATAACATGATCAATTATTTTTTTACATAAAATGATCCAAATCCTTTAGGGCCGTTTGATAGAAGGACTTTGTTAGGATTCCTGAAAAATTGAAAGTGGTAATCTTACTTACCCACGTTTGGTACAAGTTTTTTAAATTTTTCCTGAGAATCTGATTTTTCTGGGATTTTATTTTGTGTGTAATTTTTTTGAAAAAACCATCCAGGAATACCATTTAAAATGTGGTATTCTAGGATTTCTATGGCTAGGGAAAATTTAATACAACTAAACATAGTATCAAGCAAATTAACTCAATATTCTCGGGAATATGTTAGTCTACTAAACAACTTTTTGATAACATTCCCAAAAAAACTCATTTTCTCATCATATTCTTGAAAATCATGATTCTCGGATAAAAAAAAATCTCTCATCTACCAAACGCCCCCTTTAAGTACCATGTGACACCTCAGCCTCTTTCACCATATGGGCATGTGTTTCATGCACTAGATGTGGCAATTTTGTATTCTTTATTGTCTATGTCCTGTGACTCCGGGATGGGGATTAGAGGCACGAGGATAAATTTTTGATACCACTATTACATTTAGGTGGGTATAACTTTTTTGTTATTTTTGAAAAAAAGTGAAATGTGACGAAATTTTTTTTTGAAAAGTGTTACAATTTCTTTTAAAAATAAAAAAATATTGGACTCACTTGAATATAATAATAGTACTAAAAATTTATTCAAGGCGTGGATTTGGAGAATACACTGGGTAAGCCATCACGTATCCATCACTCACACTCTATATTTCGCTTTTATTTGTACGGTGATTTGATTGTTGGAGTCATATGCATCACCATACTATTGGAAAATATATAACTTTGTTACATTATTGGATAGGATATGATTCTACGTTGAACACAAATAGTTAGTTTTTATCTTATTTCGTTGTGATCTTATTTTCACCTAATACGGTGTACTCTCATATTTATATAAGACGGTTCTGTATTATTAATAAAGTCGATTAAGTTAAAACACAAATTTATACTGGTATTAGATAATTCATCGAGGATAAAAATGGCACTAAAGTTGGTAAAATGGGACCATTTGTCCTGTCCTTGAATCCCCAAAAAATAAGGTGGGAGCATATTGATTCGTCATTAATAATTTGGTTGAAAATATTAACTCATTCCATTTTAAGATAACTTGGCATGTCAATCCAACAACAAAAAATAAAGTAATTTTTTTCCTAATATTTCTTTTAATTAAAAAATGAGAAAAATATTTATCAATTTAAATGAAATGACCGTTTGTTTGATATATATTTGATGATTTTTATACTCTCTATCCTCCACAAAATTAGGAAGAGAGAATATTGTGAAGGGAGAGAAGACAAAAATTGAGGAACAGTGACCAAAATATCACGTTTTGCCAAATTTTTTATCTAAATACCACGCGAACAGTATTTTTTACCAGACTGCCACGTGTCATAATTCACTACCACTGGTAGCGAATTTTGTGGCCAATGATTTCGAGACACGTGGTCATACTGCAGACCAAATTTGCTACCACTGGTAGCGAATTACGACACGTCAGCTTTTTCCTATGAAAGTGTGCCACGTGTCAAAAATCATTGACGGACATAATTTGCTACTGGTGGTAGCGAATTATGCTTACATGGCAGTTTGATAAAAAATACTGTTCACGTGGTATTTAGATAAATTTTTTGTCAAAAGATGACATTTTAGTCACTGTTCCAAACAATTCACCAAAATACAATCATTTCACTTAAAATGGCAAGTTGTGTCGTTAAAAATAAATAATATTTTTCCCTTAAAAAAAATATATAAAGAAGTTATATTGGGATCAACATGTTATTTAATGATACGTGGGATTGAATGAAAAGTTTGTGTCTGTGTAAATTTTTACAAATATTATTATTACAAGATGGGAAATATTACTCTCCTTTTACATGAGGTAACTTATCTCATTTTCTCTCACTTCGATTTTCGTACCCCACTTTTTTCTTCTTTTTCTTTTTTCTTGTAATGGTGGGACCCACCCATTTTCTCTCTACCACATAAAATAACTATCTTATGTGGAAGGAGATTAATAAAAGTCTTACAAGATACCTTTAAAGAGGAGTATTGAAGAATATACAAATAAGCTTATTACATTATAGGATAGAATTATATATAAGACAAATATAGTTAATTTTTATTTTATTTCACTTGATCTTATCTTCATGTAATTTGATGTAATCTCGCGTCTATGCAAGATAGTTCCATATTATTAATAAACTCATCCAAATTAAATACAGATCTATTACATACTCTTCGAATACCTGTATATACAAGGAAATGCGATCAGCAACCACCATCAACCAGCACTAAAGAAAGTTCAAAAACGATATCTCATGTAGTCCTTTCCTTACCTTTCAAATTGAGCAAAATAAATTAAATTCTAAATTTCAGTGAATTAAATAAAATATATTTTTACTTATCTATTTTATGAATAAGTATCTTGATTTAATTTTTTTTTATAAAATTTAAATTAATTTTATTACATGAATAAATCATTTTATGTCTCACTTTAACCTAATTAAATAGTGTGAAAAATATTAATCATTCATTGATTGATTAACAGTTAGTCATTAAAATGATTATTTTTTTTCCTGATTGAAGAGAATTACTGATCATTGATTCATTTATTTTTGTTGTAACATTTTTTTATAACATACCACTAATTTATTAATAAATAATTGAAATTTCCTCACATACATAATCACATGAAGGATGCACTCTCAATATTACTTTATTTGAATGCAGGCGTAAAGGTGTGGTTGGAGAGTGCTTCATAGAGCGCGTTGTTGATGATCCGACAGGACGAGTAGGAGGCGATGTTTTGGGAAGAAGGGGAAATGATCGGGGAGCATAAAATTAGTGGATCCCACTTAATTCGGCGACTGCTCCTGTCCTGACCACTAGTTTTTGGAAACCACAACGACTACGTGTCAATGGTGATCGCTGAGAGCCCACAAGCATCTTGTGGTTCCCAATAATTTAATGTTTTTTTCCTTACCTTTGTGGTACTCGTTGGATAATCAAAAACATAAAGCCTTAATCCTGGATCCGCCCCGAATCGGATTAGTTGCGAAGTGATGAATCGATTGGAATATTTTCAAAACAACAGGTGTGTTTGAATGATATTTTTTTTCAAAAATTATTTTGAACATAAATTTTTAAAACTGATTTTAAGAGTAGAAAAACAATAAAATTTGTTTGAACGAACTTAGTTTCAAAGGGAAAAATATTCCTGCAGTTACTGCAGATAAGTTATCTCTATTTATCTTTAAAACGATGTCGTTTTTGTATTGAAATCTTAAAAAATTATAAATATAAAGACTATTATAACTCTGAAATAAATTAAAATTATAAAAACACCATGATTTTTGCTCCAAAACGACGTCGTATTGGGCTTACTGCAGAAAAAGAGAACCCTAGTTTTAAAGTTATAAAAAAAGTTATAATTATGGGTTCGCTTTTTCTGCATTTGCTGCAGATAAGTTATCTGCAGTAAGCCCAATATGATGTTGTTTTGGGGCGAAAATCATGGTATTTTTGTAATTTTAATTTATTTCAGGGTTATTATAGTCTTTATAATTATAGTTTTTTAATCTTTTAATTCGAGAACGACATCATTTTGAAAGTAAATGCAGATTTATATGGAGTAATTGCAGAAATCTTTTTCTGTATAATTATTTACAAAAATATGTTTCATAATTATGATATTGGCATCCCCAAAGTAATTTAAAATTAAAAAAATACTTTATTTACCAAAATATTATTAATGAATTCTCATATTACTAAAAAAACAGATATTATTTTTAAAATTGATTTTACGAACACTCTTATCAAACAACTTTTTTTGTTTTATTATTTTAAAATTAAAAATTGTTATGCAGAATAAAAATCAAACAGAGCCAACTTCTCCTGATTTTTTTTATAAGGATGAAATGTTATGTCTATTTATTTTTCAAGCCTATTTTATCTATTTATCTCTAATATTGTTAGATCAGAATCTTAAGTTAAAATAGA